TGGTGGCACTGGCTTCCTGGCTGTTCCACAAAAAAGACACTCCATCTCTCAGCACTACAATTTCTTTGACTATCCCTGCAATGCCCAGAATATTCTCCCCCCTCATCTCCATCTACTGGTTTCCATAGCTTCTTCAAGTCCCAGCTAAAATCCCACCTTCTACAGAAAGCCTTTCCCAATTCCTCTTAATTCTAGTGCCTTCCCTCTGTTGGTCATTTCCTAATTATCCTGTATATAGTGTGTTCTTTTGCATATAGTCTTTCCCCCATTAGACTGTGAGCTCTTTGAGGGCAAGGGCTGTCTTTTGCCTTTCTTGTGTTCTCAGAGCTTAGCACAGTGCCCGGCATGTCACAGGTGCTTACCGACTCATTGAAATTAACTGAGAGGAATCATAAACCCGAGACCCTAGGACCACACACAAATTCTTCCATTTCCAGTATAGTTCTTAAAGCAAGTATGAAGACAAAAATAGCCATTACAAATTATTTTGTTGAGTCATTTCAGTCCTGTCCGACTTTCCATGACCCCATTTGGGATGTTCTTGCCAAAGATATTGGAGAGGTTTGCCACTTCCTTCTCCAGCTAATTTTGTGGATGAAGAGCTAAGGCAAACCGGGTTAAGTGACTTGCCCAGGGTCACAAAGCTAGTAAGTATCTGAGGCCGGATTTGAACTCAGGTTCTCCTGACTCCAGGGTCAGTGCTCTATCCACTGCACTACCTAGCTGCCCCTTGCAAATTATACTGATGCCTTAATTAAAAGTATTATGTCTATCGAAAGAGCTATATAGGAAGACAGCATGGTGCAGTAGAAAGGGTGTTGAACTTTGGAGTCACCGAACCTAATTTGGAATCCATGTTTTACACTTACTGTGATCTTGGAAAAAACCCTTAAGCTCTTTGGGCTTCAGTTTTTTCCTGATTTTAACATGAGAGACCAGGTGACCTTTAAGGTCCCTTTCAGCAATCGATATATGACCCTCTGGATCCTGTGGAATGTCACAGAGGTCAGCAACCTTCAAAATATTCCTACTTTTTCTTCTGGAATATGGAGAGGTATGTTGACCATACATACAGTGGCTTTATCAATTAGGAATAGTGAGATCAGTATGCATCAGATGTTATCTGTCAAGGGAGAGATAATTGCAATATTTAACAAACCATGACAACTTTCACAAACAACAGAGAAGTATGATGGCTATTATCATAGCTGAGGCAACTGCTTCTTATGCTGTGTTTGGAATGCATACATTAACTATATGAAAACAAATCTAAATATGGGTCTTCCAACTAACCAAAGGCAGAGAAAAAAATATTTATGGCAGGGATATTAGTGACCTTTAGCTTCAACTCACAGTCAGGTTGGCTGTTCTTGTTAGCAGTTTCCTTGCCATGGCCATCTAGGGAGATGCCTGGATCAGTTGTCTAGGTAAAGCTTACCCTCTCACCTCATTCATGGTACATAGTCCTGAGAGCAACAAGTCATGAGGCAATCCATGAAAAAGACCACTTTGGAAATGCATGGATGTCAGAAGGATTAGGGGAAAAAAGCACATGTAACACAAAATCATGTAAATGCAGTGCACAAAAAATATTATTTGATAATCGTGGCAGCCAAAACCATCAACATAAAGAAATATTTAATACTCCATAGAATCATAATAGCTCTTAAATAGTCCTTTAATGTTTACAAAGCACTTTCCTGACAACACCTGCTCAGATAGGTAGCATATTATTATGTCTGCTTTATGAACTAGAAGACTAAGACTCAGATGATTGGAGTGACTTGTCCATATTGAACCTGCTAATGTCAGAGATGTGATTCAAGTCTGTCTAGTGACTCCAGGTTGAATTAGTGGTCACTCCTTGTAGAAGTTCAGATGAGGGCACCCTTCTTGAGTTTTAATCCTGCAATGCAATACTCAGTTTTTTTTTTATCTGTTATCACATCCTCTGATCATATCTTTCCTAAATAATGTCCCTTATTCCAATTCTTACACACTTACATCTGGTAATATTCTGTATTCTATATTCTATATATATGTATATATTCTCCATATATAGTCTATATATATTCATACTCATATGGATCTTTCCATTGCCCTTTGCTTCACATGCAATTTTAATTCTTTTTAGATTGTAATATAGTCTATAGCTGGTGCCTACATAGCATTAGGAGATGAGGTAGTGAATTCCAGGCATGGTACTTTTCTTTGGCTGAAGTACTACCTTCCTTAAACTACAGGGAGACAGCATAACACTGCATTAATTATCCAGCCAAGAAATTTAGTTAGCTGAGTGCAATACCTGAAATATCTGAATTTCTCACCAGATGGTGACCTACTTGAACTACCAGATGGAGCCTCATTAAAAACTCTCTGGGCATATGCAAGGAAATAGCCACTTTCTAAAGCTACCATATCCCCACTGGCCATTAGTTAGCCTTCAGCCTGCAAACTCCTAAATTCTGCCTCAATATGGTGACTATTACTAGGGCCTAATCTAATGTAGGGCAGATGTTCTTGGAGCCCATGAAGTTGTTTTTTAAAAACATTTTCATAACTATATTTCAATAAAATTGTTTTCCTTTGTAATCTATTTTATGCTCTTAAAAACGTTATTCTGAGAAGGGATCCATAGACTAACTCTCTCTCTGTGTGTCTCTCTCTCTGTCTCTCTGTCTCTGTCTCTGTCTCTCTCTCTCTCTCTCACACACACACACACACACACACACACACACATAGACATGCATGTGCACATGCACTAATATTAATCTAGGGTATGAAATGGAATATTGGTCAAAAGTTTTTTAAAGGTGAAATCTGATCATATCTGGCTGAGCCTCTATTCCATGAAATATTTCACTCTCTTAAGTAATTTTTTAATACATTCATAGACTCAGAGATTTAGTTATGTTCAGACTTCTCTAATATAACCCTTTATAAGTAAGGAGGCTGATGGACAATGTAGTTTTTCCTGGCTAGAGTCAAGACTGAAGGATCTGGTGAAGCCAGAGCCACTCATGAACTTTTGAGCTCTGAGGAGAAAGATAGGGACTCTGGGGCTGTGGACTTACACAAACGGTGAAACAATTGCAAGTGAAGGGCACTGCTTCTTGGAACTGAATATGATCATGAGCAGTTTGAGCCTTGTCTGGCTCACTGACCCACTTAAGGAGTGATTCATTTGGACAGAATTTTGCCATTTTTCCTGTGTCTTACCACTAACCTCCTGCTCCCCTAAAATCATTAAACCTTGTTGATTTTCCTTCCAAAATTTTATAATAGGTTTAGTCTCCACGTAAAGATAAGATGATTTTTTTATTGCATTCTGAGCAAATGTTTGTTATAAAGGAGAAGACCACAGAAGGGTATAAAGACAAAAGGGAACCCATGAGACCAATTGTCCTAAGACTTAACAGAGAGCCTATATTAAGTTCTATCTCTGAAGACATATAGAGGAGTTTCATTATGGTCATAAAGTTTATTGTTCATAGAAAAAAATGAAAAGAAAACCAGACAAAACACCCTTGAATGGAGACAATCACCACCAACCATCCCTCCTAGCTCCCTATTATGGTTCCCTTCTAGATAGGAGAGTATATATAGGGGAGAGCCCCATAGCCTACACTGATAGTCACAACCTTTGTCAGCCTCAGTTTACTATTCTGTAAAATGGGAATTATAACCCCTCCTTCAGAGGGTTGCTGAAACTAGGTGATATAGTGAATAGAGTGCTAGACTTGGAGTCAGACTTGGACTAAGTTCAAATCTGGTCTCAGATACAGATATAAATATATAGAAATATACATATATACACATACATACACATATGTGTGTGTGTATACACACACATAGCTGTATGACCCTAGTCTAGGCACTTTACCTCTCTCAGCCTCAGTTTGCTCCTCTGTAAAATGGTGATAATAATAAGCTCTATATAAACATGAGCTATTGTTATTATTTTTTTAAAAACCTCTATTATTACAGTTCACAGTTTTACACATAGGTTTCTTTTTTCTGTTCTTTGTATTTTGAAATGCTCATATTTGTTGATTTTTCTTGCATTCATAATAAAATTAAATATTTAAATTAAATAAATAAAAGTAAAATTTTTTGTATTTGCCCAAGGTCACACAGGTGGTAAATGGCAGAGCCAAGATTTGGATCTGGGCCCTCTGACTTCAAATCCAATATCTTCATTAGAGGAAAAGAGGCAAAACAAGTCACAGGAAGACGTTCTTCCTGCTCACAAGTATTTCCCCATGAATTCCAACAATTAGAAATTCATTAGGTTAACTAAGTCCTCTTAGAAAGTACAGGCAGTCAACTAAAGAAAGCCCAGGTAAAACCATTCAGGAAGGAGGAATATTGATTTGGGCTGGGAAAAAATACGAAAAATGCATGGTAGAGCATAAGGAAGCTAGGCCTCGGTGGGATGAGAGAATTTGTATAGCCAGAGGGCACCATGGGTGTCTGGGATATGGGGGGTGGAAGGGAAGGTGGGAAAAATGGGGGAAGAGGAGGAGGGAGGATTTAGGGTTTAGGAAAAGATCATGAAGACAACAAAAATGAGTTTTGCCTATTTTACAATTTTGCCCTGGGCTCTGGTAGTGAGTGAATATCTGGCTGAAAATTGTTGCTGCTGTTTGCTAATCATGCCAAAATTGAGGTCCTGGTCTAATTTGGAGAGCTGAAAACCTCAGCTTTCACCAATCCAGCCCATTTTCTTCAATCAAGTTCATTCAATCTAGCCCATTTAACTCAGCACAGCATTTATTCATCCTCCATAGGGAGAAGGAAAAAGACAGGAAAAGGAAGGAGCAGGAGATAGATACATACACTCCTCACTCCCTCATCCCCTCTTTTTCCTCAGTCTGAGACAGTACAGTATTGAAAAGATTCACCACCCAAACCACCATTAACTTACTCACTTCTAATACTCAGGGCTGATGCTGATTCTAGGAGCATTTTGATATTTATCTTTTCCATTCTGCTACCAGGTGTGATGCAAGCCTTGCAAAGCTGTCCGGAGACATTAATGTCATCAGGCATGAGCACCAGAAAGTTGAGAAAGACATTCAAACGCTCAAGTCCATTCTGGAAACTTTTTCCAAGACCATAGATGTGAAGGTAAGCAGCAAGAAATGGAGTAATGGCTTTTCATTTCCATATTCCTGCTATAGTCCCCTCATCAAAATGTCAGCTTGGACAAGAAGCTTCCTATTCAAACCAGAGGGTATGTTGCTGGATGCCATGTTGATAGCTATTTGATTCCTTTGGAACCTCCCAAAGTGCTATGGGAACCAAAGAGTATAATACAAGTATTATTGAATGACAATTCTTAGGGGTTAAATCCAGCACATGTGTAAGTTCTTATGCAAGCTTTATATAGGTTATATATTGATAACACACTATCTATCATAGACTTCTTAAAGCTGGAAGAAACCTCAAACAACATCTAGTCCAGGAGTTCTTAATGTTGGCTCCAACAACTTTTTATTTATTTATTTTGTTTTTTCACTAAAACTTAAATACACAGTAAGAAAAGAAAAAAATTATAAACTTAAATATTAAAACAAATACAAAATAAGAAAAGAAAAAAAT